AGCTGACAAGGGGAACGGGAGCCCAGCGGGGTGCCGCCCCCTGCGCGCAGCAGCCGCCCTGGCCCACTCTGCAGACCCGAGCGCCGCCGGACCCGCCCATTCGGGGCAGTCCTGGCCACCTCTTCCCAGCGCTCCCACACTACGCACTTCCACCAGCCAGGCGACTTTGGGTGCACCCTCTGGGAGCCCTCGAGTTTGTTCATGGGTAGGCAGTCAGTATTAAAAACCTTTTCTAACAGTCTGTGAGATGCACCCTTTTCATCAAGCCCACCTGCTCCACCCACCATCTCCCTAAGATCAGGCAAGACCAAGGTCTGAAGAGGAATCTTGCTTTCTACTTTGTGTTTGAACTTCTGGGTGGCAGCCTCTTCGAAATTGGTTTCCTCTTCGGTCGACCTAAAACGGGCTTTCTAGGAGTGATTCCAGCCCCACACTCGCAGCACCCACAGACTGGTCAGTCTGCACTAATTTTGATATGACCATACTGATGGCTGGGTAAAAAGAGGTGCTTCCCAGCCCTTACCCCGGATTCTACTGCTGGCTTTCTATCAGGATGTGTTCTTTGAGTGTGTAGATTTACAGGGGCCCTATTTGACTTAACAGGCTGCAGTGATAGCCATCAGACTGCCTTCTGAGAATTCTTAATCAGTTCTGAAGGGGCTCCATCTTGCCAAACCTCCCTCTCACACTGGCTTCCCCAGTGTGACCTCTTAAGAGCACAAGCACACACAAACCATTTTGCATGTTTTCATTTGCAGTGCGTTAATTTTATTTTGCTTTTTATTTGTTTTGGTTTGTTTGTCTAGTCTTGACTAATGCTTCTCTTCTGGTCCAGGACATTGGAAGGTGGTTTTCTACCAAGTTGTATTGTGTGTCAGTAATGGAATCTTGAAATCCCCAACTACATGTTTTCATTCACTGTTCTAGAAGACTCTCTGGTTGATGCTACAGAATACTGATGGGTAAGCAGGGTGGGGATGTTGTTCCTAAGTTTACAGGGCTCTTGAACTAGTTTTACCTAAGAGTGGGCAAAGTGGGAGACATCTGTGCTTTCTAGCTATCACAGCTATGACCTGAGGACTTCTCTGACCCAGAGTCAGCTGGCACCAGCTACCCATGAAGTCAGACTAGGTTCTTGGCATAGCACATTACATTGAAAAATATAAAAGTAAGACAGTAAGTAATGTTAGTCCTGATAGCAGCAACCGTCATGAGTAACAGTAACTGACTGGTTAAGGGTAGTACTGGGATCAAGAGCATGGGGAAAGGCTCATTGTTTTGGCCAGTGAGGAAACAAGATTTTTCTGGTGTACTTCCATTTGAGCCAAGCCCTGGTTGATGGAAAGGGGCCAGTCTTAAGAAAAGCTGAGGTAATGGCCTCAGAAAAGACCCCAACAGAGGACTGCACTCAGCGTGCTCAAGGCACAGTAGAGATGCAGGTGGAGGAGACGAGGATAGAGGAAGGATAGAAATCAGTTCTTCAGAACTGTGGTAAATTGTTTCTCTTTTACTCTCAGGGCACTGCTGAACCATTGAATGATTTTAACAAGAAAGTGAATGTTTTCAAAGATACTCTCTGGCTGCTGTGCAGGAAATAAGTTATAAGAGAACGGAATAAAAGCAGAGGCACTAGCTAGGAGACACTAGCCGTTGTTCCCTCTACAGGACCGCTGTGATGGAGGTGGTGATGCTAAGAAATGAAAGGTTATAGTTTCTAATTTGGAGACAGAACTGAAGGCCTTACTGCTTAATCAGATTCGTAAGTAGTGAGTTAATGGAGGTGTCATGAAGGACTCCAAGGTTTTTGAGACATTGTGTAATGTTGCTGCCAATAATTGAGACCAAAGACAGGAAAGAAGCAAGTTAGGGAGAAAGAAGATTCATTCCCTGAGCATTTAAGTTTGAAATGGCATTAGGCCTTCATCCGGTAATAACCAGAACTTCATTTCTGAGCCCCATATTCAAGAAAAGAAATGGGTCAGAACTACATTTGAAATCATTTCAAAGTTGTGTTAGACAAGATCTCTTAAAACAGTTTCACATACTCATCAGTTATATGAGATTTATAGGAACATGGGTGAACCACATTGGAAGAAAAAACTGTGAATAACTCCTTATGCTGTATATCAGTGATGTGAAAGATTCTTGTAAGTGCATGAATAAGTGGTTGAAAAGGAAGCAAAAGACAGGAACAGCCCGGGAAATTGAAATTACTTTTAAGAAGCTAAGCCGTTAGGGGATGCAGAAGAGTCATTGAAGAAACACAAGGACAAGACAAATCCTAAAGCCACCTAAACTCGCCATAACCAGCAGAAGGCCCCCACACAGTTGGTACTTAACAATTTTCTTTCTTATGGGGAGCCACAGTTGAGACAGCTTCTCACTCTGCAGGAAAGGATGGCCTGAAACTGTGATCCTGTTTCCTCCTCCCAGGAGCTGGGAACTCGGCCATGGACCACACCCAGTGAGTATGGAAATTGTTATGGTAGGCATCTGAAGACTGAGAGGTTGCCAGTTGCTGCTAACTTTTGCTGAATGGCAAAGGAATGACCAGCATAGCCTAAGGAACCCCCGTGTGTCTCTGGTGACTTCAAAATCATGTATCAAAAACTTGGAGCATTTGGGAGATTAGCAGTGCTTTCAAACCCTTCTAGGTATTTTATCCTTGGAAAGGGAGAGAGTATTTAGAAAGTGAACAGTAACTCATAGAAATTGATAGGGTATTTTTGAATGAGCACTTGTAAGTTTGAATTATGGCTAATGTTGCTGGGATAACTGGTGAGGACTAGGGACATCTTCCCAGAAGGTTCAAAGCCTTCATCAACATTCTACCCAAAAAACCGATCAGAGTACACAGATGAATGCTAATCTTGCAGGTGTTTTTCAAAAGAGGTTGGCTGTCCAAATAATTTTGTAATTGAACATCAACAATTGAAAGCAGTTTGAAAATAATCTGATTGAAATGGAAGTCAGATTATGAAAACCATAAGCTTTGGACAAATAAGATGGATAACAGACAGGAAATGAAAATTTAAAATTTTGCACTTCTGAGGATGAAGGGATTATATACACTAGTCTGAAAGTTTACGACTTAAGAAACTGGGGATTAGAGGAATTGTACAAAAGTCTGAAACTCAGAAATGTGAAGCAGATATTGTGGTAGCATATCCTTTCTGAACATATTTTTTGAGCTCTAGATGCTGTGTGCATATGGATAAAGATGGAGACAATGCATGAGTAAGTGGATGGATGGATATGCATTGTTTTACTATTTGTTTTAGAGTGTTCATACATAATTACCTGTCAATTCAGGTTAGATACAGGCAATGGTAAAAAAGGGCACAAAAGAAAAATAAGGTTCTAATGGTGTGCTGGGTGGTTTTAGGCCAACTTGAGACACGCTATAGCCATCTGAGAAGAGGGAACCTCAATTACGAAAATGCCTCCATAAGATTGGGTTGTACTTAAGCCAGTAAGTTATTTTCACAACTAGTGATTGATGGGGGAGGGCCCAGCCCATTGTGGTGATGCCACCCATGTGCTGGTGGTCCTGGGTTCGATATGAAAGCAAGCTGAGCAAGCCATGATGAGCAAACCAGTAAGCAGCACCCCTCCATGGCCTCTGTATCAGCTCCTGCTTGTCTCCCTGGCCTGACTTCCCTGAGTGATGGAGTGTGGCCTGAGAATTAAAAGTTAAAATAACTCTTGGTCACGATCTCTTTATCACAATGGCGATAGAAACCAAACTAAAACAAACCACAAGACAAAATATTGTGTTATCAAGCTGATAACTTCAAGGAAATGAAAGGGGGGGATAAAGTTGAGAATTTAATTGTTCCCCAAGGAGAAAAAGTGATTTAGTCTTTCAACAGATTTCAAAACTTAAAGAAAGGTTGAATGATCCTAGAATCAAATACTCGGAAAGTAACAGAAGGTCACTGAAGGCAAGCTTCTAATTGCCACATCACAGATATCCCAGGTGAGGTATAAACTCCAAAACCAGTATAACTACCTCAAAGCTTCCTCTTTCTAGGCAATTGGACTCCCCGAGCTCCACCTGGGGCTTGGCAGTGGATCTCTGCATCTGTTTCCATCAGTCATTGGTTGAGATTTCTAGTATGACAGTTAGGGTGTTTGGCCATCTTATCACCAGAGTAGGTCAGTTCGGGCTTTCTCTCAACCATTGCCAGCAGTCTATTGTGGAGGTATCTTTATGGATTTCTGGGGACCTCTCTAGCACTTTGCTTCAACGGCTGTTATGAAAATCACTAAGTCTCCTTCAGACCTTCCTAGAACATAGCAGGTACTATGTAAAACTAATACTAAGTTGTTCTTAAGGTACTGATGTCAGCCTGGATGGGAAGTCCTGATGGATGCTTCTGTGGCTCCTCTGACACGTCAATCAAGGGTTTAGATCTGGAGCATAAAGTGAAAAGCAGGTATGAGTACCATGTGGATGTCACAAATTAGAAACAGGCTACTGAAAATGTGAGATAAAATCATGTTCCTACAATCTAAAATGAATATGAACAAGATAGATACACA